ATATATATATATATAATGTTTTATTTTGGGGTTTGGAAGTTGGATTGTTGTGAAAAAAAAGTTTTAGATGTAGTGACAGAAAGAGAAACTTGGGTGCCTGATAAAATGTTAAGGAGAGCCAGATTTGGCCCGTGAGCCTTGAGTTTGACACGTGTGCTGTAGAATATGTTCAGATTTTCCCAGACATTGTCACATACAGTTTTCTTTTGAGCTCCCAAAGATAGGTCACAAAAGTGAACTTCAGGAGGTATCAAAGAGGCCGATACTGTATGAAAAAAAGAAACACACTTCTGTGATCCACAAAACTTCATATAAAGTCTAAGATGTTGCTTGCTGGATTCTTTKCTCTCTTTTTTTTCTCCTTTTTTTTGTAGTTGAAATTAGACCAGCTGAAAAATTAGGACATAGTTCAACCCGCTAATACACATCCCATCTATTCTCAGGATGTGTATCACGGAGGTCCTCAATTATAGGTCTTGCAGCTGCTTTATTAACTGGAAAGTAATTCAATAGACTCGACAGACCAGAAACTGTTTTGGGTTACGAGGTCACACTCTTAATTAGTCTCTGTAATGACAAGATAAAGTTTGGTCATATTTCCGCATTAAAACCAGGTAAAGATGATGGATGCTGTGTTAAACATGCAACTGTGAATACATTCGGGCAAGGGTTCCCTTGTAAATGCCATCTGACTGCACTCATTCACCCGTGAACGAGCACTGCTGTCACAATTCACAGTGATGTTAATATTCTTTGTTTGTCAGAGGCGGATGTGCCAGGAATGTCTCTGCATGAACAGAAGGACAAGCAGGGAGGGGGACATTATATAAAAACGTGATTTGCCCAACATATTTTAAAAATCTAACTTTTAAGGTTGCATTTTTTTTTCTCATTGACCAATAAATGACYTAATCATTTCTGGAAAATGAATGGAAAGGCAGTACAGCAGAAACTGAGGTCAAGGGTCACACTGTGATGTGATAATTACACTGGATTTGTTAATCATCAAGACTTTATATGGTATTTTTACTCATACAGACAAAATATATATTGCCACAAAAATATATATGTATATTTTCTGGAAGTTTGTTTATTGTTTGTTGTTAAAAAGCATGACCATATTAAATGCCRGTACTGGAGATGCCTTGGAGATTTCTTCCCTTTCTTTAATGCAATGAAGGTGAACAGAATTTTGTCTTTGGAGCTCCAACCTTTCATTTATTATATTTTAAAAATATTGAACAACAATGACTCTCGCCAGAGGAGTTTTTCTCTCTCGTGCTCTATCTCTTTTCTTGTGAGATTTTCATTGATACAGAAGTCCTCCACTCAAAAAATAATAAAATAAAGACCTCCTGAAAAGTGTTCATTGTATTCAAGGAATTTTTCAAAGTAACACCTTTACTGAAAACGAAAAATTGCTGTTAATTCTTTCTTTGTGTTTGTTCCCTTCATTCATCACCATCACTGAAATGAAATTAAGTGGCATTTACTAGGCGGAGGAAGAATATATTTAATCTTGCAGACAAGTTGATATTGCACAGTCCATGCAGCTACGAGTAAAAAAAGCAATCGCAAACTTATTTTTGAAAGGAATCCAAAAAAAATTATAATAAATGAAGTTGCAGCCGGAATACTGGCACTTTTAAACAACACAAAAAGCTGGATTCACTTTTATTCTTTAGATTTTTTTGACCACTTTATGTAAATTTCCTCCAGAGGAAGGCTGTCCTGGGCAGGGTTGCCAGATTAGAAATGACAAAATATCCTAATGCCACTTTAAAATGATCACATTTTGACCCAAACCATTGTATGTGATAAGTGAGGGTGTGCTTTCTCAGCCAACTGGAGTGGAGGAGGGGCTAAGATGAGGTGGAGAGTTGCGCACCTGGTGATCACATGCTTTGGCTGGTTGGATTGGACAATRTGTCGATGATTAACTAAGGTATTTTGATGCACAGAAAAGCCAAAGCCAACACATATGCAGGCTTTTTTAAATACTATTTATTTTAAGAAAATATTATTGTATGTTTGTATGTAACCCTGGTCCTGTTCCATTGTGCAATGCAAAGTAAACGAGTAGGAGTAAAACCTTCAAGCCCCTTCRAACTGAAATCTGCTGGGGGATAGTGATGGGACAAAGGGTTCTTTGAGGGGATCCAGATCTTGACGAACTGTTCATTTCAAATGTCATCACATAGGGTAGATATATCATCACTTCAGGTAGATGGAACCAYGTGTTTTGTTAAGCGGAACCTGCCCTTTCCCCCTCTGCCTGTTTTCATAGAAAAAGCTAAGGAGGACCATTGTCTCTGTGGTTTAAGGGGGAAAAATATAGAAATTACAGGAGTTCAAAAGATGGCTCTTTCGCAACTCSTTTCCTATTATTCGTTGTAAGGAAGCATTCAAAAATATTTGTCAGATCTCTACAGGGGACATAGTTGGAAAATGAGTTGTTCTTTAAAGAAATAAATAATCAGAAATCAAAGCATTGCCTCTATTRAAAGAATTTTGCAAATCTATTGCCTTGTTTATCTTGAAGTGTACTGAAACATCACATTTAGTGTTAGTGTTACTTTTCACCCAACAACTGATGGTGTATGGTAGTGGTCCTCAATCATTTTTTACAAGAAGTACCACTTCAAAAAAATACTTTGACCTATTAGTGCCACCCATTACAACAGCATCGTATGCCTTGCAACCGTGGCTGGAAATGAAACAGTTTTTTTCTCTCTCTGTTTCCAACTTTTTGTTGCTAATTTGTTGATAGACTCAACTGGTTCTCTTTAGTTACCAATTAGTTAATCATCATTCATTCATGTTTTTATAGAGGTTCCATGTTGTGGTCTTGTTTTGATTAGTTTCCAKTTAGAATAAAGAGTGTAATTTGCTTGAATCTCTTTTTTTTGACTATCTCTTCCTTTTAGGCTTACAACAGAGTTCTGATTATTTAACTCTATCAACTCCGAAATAGTTGWTACCAAAGTATAAAGTACCGCTGACGGTATCTTCAGTTGTTCCACAGTTTGATAACCGTGGCTGTATGTATTCCTTAAAAGGGATATCTCAGGTTATTATGTCATATTTGAAATACCACTCCTTATAATTTCAGATTAAAAGCCAAAGTAAATATGTAGTATTAAAAATTGTATGTTTGGCCTCAACAAGCAGTGTTCTAGTTATGAGAGAAAATGCAAACATGGAGGTAAATTACCTTTAAAACAATCCCTACATTATGGCTGTAGCAAGTTCAGTTTGAGATGTCTGACCTGTAGCTAACAGAAGTTAAAGGATCATTTGCCAAGACCTCTTTTTTTATCATTAGTGGTATGAAGTAGGAGTCATAAAACAAGATTTTTAATATTACATCATAATTAGATAGTGCTATTTACATTCACTCTCCTGACCCTTTCACCCATGTGTGCCTCCGGTTTGAAATGTGCTTGTTTTACAGAGAAGCCACGATTAAAGACATGTGTTGTCCGTTCATTTGTTACAGACTCAGCGCCGCGTGACCTTCCATCTTCCAGATGGCTCTCAGGAGAGTTGTAGCGACAGCGGGCTGGGGGACCCGGAGCCCAGCAGCGCAGCCAGTAACACCCAGCCGCTCCCCCTCAGCTTCCCCCAGGAGGAGTACTACGAGCAGACGTCACCAAACAGCCGCACCGAGGGAGACGGAAACTCAGACCCAGAGTCTAGTGAGTCCTTTTGTTGTTATTGTTACTATGCTCAGAAAATGAGGCAAATGGTTTATTTTGTGATTTCCACAGCTTTTAGTGATTTTGTGTGGCTGATAACATAATTTCGAAGTGGCCATCTGTGTTTTCAGWAAGTCAAATTATTTGAGCTTACAGCTGTGATTGTAATTGTAACAACACAGCCGCACACRTACTTAGCAAGCAGCCATTTTCAGTTAAAGAAGTATAAACAAACAAACACTAAATTTATAATTATAATGTATATAAAATGGTTGTACAATTGGATTGGATRAATTTTTGTTGCTTGGGAAGTAAACCAATAGGATTAACTGGACAACCAAAAATGAACAAGCGRGTGTTTAGTGATTATTTTACATTWAAGTGTTTCATTTTAGACTCACAAATAATTAGGCCTAATCGGTACCACTGAACATTATTTTTTTACAGTAAAATGCGTTTTGCAGGGCTGGTTTTTGCAAATGTTGCTGAGTTTTAATGCAAGGCGAATTCTTCCCCCGAGGTTGGAACTTTGTTGCTGAGATTTTCTTAAATGATTCACACGACAGCTGTCACTGCATGGCTTACTGCCCAGCGATGTTCCCCCATAAAAAGCATCATTGAACACAAGCAAGCGCAAACTTCTTCCTCATGCATATACAGTGCTTTTCTTTTTAATCGTTGTCCAAAAAAAAAAAAAAAACACTGCAGGGGGTGCAAAAAAAGAGGTTTTTCCACCTCCTGGTAGAGGAGATCCAAAGCCTTTTTTTTTCATCAGCAGCTGTAATACCACTGAAATCATTTTGCACCAGCAGAAAACGAACAGGGCTATTCTGAGTGCCTCCAACCTGTCCCTTTTCTAGATGAATATTCTAGTCCCAGTGAATCAGTTTTTTTTTTTTTTTTTTAGGTTACCTTGTATCACTTTTTTTAGACAGGACAGATGCTCAGATCTGTGCAGGCCC